GCAGCAGCAGGAGCAGCAGCATGCAGGGGCTGGGGCTGCTGCCAAAAGGTGAGCTGCAGCTGCTGCTGAGCTGTATCTTTGTCTCTGTCTCCTGCTGCTGCTGCAGTGCTCCCTCTCTGTCTCTGTCTCCTGCTGCTGCAGCAGGGATCTCTCTGTGTCTCTTTCTGCTGCTGCAGCTGCTGCTGCTGCAGCTGCTGCTGCAGCGCCCTCTTTCCTGCTGCTGCCTGAGCTGTCTGTACACCCCGAGGGGAGACTCTGCACCCCCTGCAGTGTTTACTTGTGTCTCCTTTTTTTATTTATTCTCTCCTTTTTTTATTTGTTCTCTCCTTTTTTATTTATTGTCTCCTTTTTTTTATATACTGTCTCTTTTCTTTTATTTGCTGTCTCTTTTCTTTTCTTTATTGTCTCCTTCCCCCTGCTTTGTGTTTCCTTTTATTATTTTTTGTCTCCTTTTATGTTTTTGTGTGTGTTTTTTTTTTATTTTTTTCTCCTTTATTATCTCTTATATCTCCTTCTCCTGTCTCCTTTTGTCTCCTTTTGTCTCCTTTTGTCTCCTTTTGTCTCTTTTGCAGTGTCTCTGTGCCGCAACACGAAGAGACAGAGAAAGAGACAGAGACAGACAAAGACACCGCCCCGAGGCCCCTCTTGCTGCTCCCTCCTCTACAGCACAGCTGCTGCAGCTGGATGCATGCAGTCCCCCTCTCACTGCTGCGCTGCAGCAGCTCGACTCTTCTGGTCTTGGGGCTGCATGCGCTCTCAAAGACGAATCACTACCCCCTGGGGGCCTCGCCCCCACGCTGCCCCCCTGCACCCCACCAGTACCCTCTTTGGGGGGCCCCCCGGGGGCCCCCACGCTACCCCTAGAGCCCCCATGGGTGTGTCTAGATGCAACACTGCCTACTGTCTCCTGTTCCTCTTCTCCGTCTCCGAAAGGAGACGAGGCCCCCATCGAACCCCTTCTATCTGCTGCAGCGGGAACGGGGGCCCCTGGGGGCCCCGGGGGCCCCGGGGGGGCCCGATGCTCTGGGGGCGAGGAAGGTGCTGCAGGGTATGCCTTTGCTGCTGCTGCGCTTCGCTCTATAGGGGCAGCAGGGGATTTAGAAGGAGACA